GGAGTCTCGCTCTGTGGCCCAGGCTGGAGTGCAGTGGCCGGATCTCAGCTCACTGCAAGCTCTGCCTCCTGGGTTTACGCCATTCTCCTGCCTCAGCCTCCCCAGTAGCTGGGACTACAGGCGCCCACCACCTCGCCCGGCTAGTTTTGTTTTTTTTTTTGGTATTTTTAAGTAGAGACGGGGTTTCACCATGTTAGCCAGGATGGTCTCGATCTCCTGATCTCGTGATCCGCCCGCCTTGGCCTCCCAAAGTGCTGGGATTACAGGCTTGAGCCACCACGCCCGGCCTCCAAACTTCTTTAGTTACCACTCCCACCCTTGACCCCTCCAAAGCTAAGACCCCCACCACACTCCCACCCTTGTCCCTGCAGGAGGGAAGCCGCCAGACTTTCCAAATCCCAGGCTGACATTTTAGGACACTCCTGACCTAAGTCCCCACAAGCCTGACCATGCAGCGTCCCCTGAGGCTACAGGGACAAAGGCACAGACTCTAGGTCCAGAGACCAGGCCCCCTCTCCCAGCCCCGCAGGCCCTGTGTGCCCCCCGTCCTGGGTGCTGGCATCTCCACCGCTCCCCTGCCGTCTCCAGGGAGGGATCCACATCATGGACCCGGCTCAGAAGCACCCCTTCATGACTCCTAATCCCCACCCTGGGGGCACACTGCATACACCCGGCTGGCCCCCACCACGTGCCCAGCACAGCCCGATCCTGCCCGCTCTCCACCCTCCCGACAGCCTCACAGCCCTCCTGCCCCTCTCTGGCAAAGCGGCCACTGACCTGAGCATTCAGGGGCTGGAGGGGGATTTTTTGCCTCTTGGGTCTTCCTCCTAAGCGCCAACACGGAGGCTTTGTGGCGTCTGGAGGTGCTGGAGGGGGCTGAGGTGCCCAGGGATGCACAGCTCCCCTGCTGCCACGCCTGGGCCCGGATCTTGTCTCTCAGCTGCTCCAGCCGTGGGTCACTCTTTCTGGGCCGCCACCGGGGCCCCAACACCTGAGGGGGCCTCTCCTTCCAGGACACACACACTTCATGGCCCCCCGAAGAACCCGAGAGGCGGCCCGATGACACCGAGCTGTCGCCATCCCTGACCTCCGGGCCTGTGGACCACATGGGCAGGCTGCGGGCCTTCCCCCAGGGGCCTGGCTCCTCGAGGTCTTCAGACCTGACCATGTGGGGAGCTGCCCAGGGTGGGTCCGGCTGCTGGGAGGGCCACCTCAGGGATGCCACGTCATCCTCGGCTGCAGGTGCGCGGAGCCTGAGAGGGAACAGCAGACACGCGAGTCAGATGTGCAGGTGGAGAAGTGCTGAGCAGAGCTGCTCAGACTGGCCCCACCTCCCCAGGCATTCCTGCTCTGCAGACTGGAGGTGGAGAGGAGGGCCTGGAACATACCCCACCTCAAGGACAGCCCCAGCATTCTCTCTCAAGCCCTGACCACACCCCTCTGAGGTAGGCAATATGATTGGCCTCATTTACAGATGGAGAAACTGAGTCTCACAAAGGCCGGACTGCCTGCCCAAAGGCACAGTCAGAGGCAGCCACAGCACTCTGACCCCACACCCTCATATCTTGCACAGAGCCGCTGCCTCCCGGGGCAGGCATGGCACCTGCCAGCAGTGCGGCCCCCCGCCCGAGTCCACGCAGATGCTACCTGGGCTTGGCACCAGCCTCCCAGTCGGCTGCTCTCCCTGGGGCCCCATGGGAGAAGTGGCCCTGCCTCTGGCTGTTCTTGTGGCCGAACTGAAGCGTGTCCCCCAGGCGGGTGGGCAGCGTGCCCATGACCAGGGTTGGCATGGCCGCAGGGCCAAGGGGTGAACAGGTGCAAGGCCAGCCTGGCCCGACCTGCCTGGGGTCGCTGCTGCCTTCACATGACGGCTTCAAGGCCTGCAGCCCCGCCTACGACCCTGCCCAGGATGGGCTGGCCGCTGCCTGGATCCGGATGCCCGCCTGTGCCGGTCCCCTGGCCCACGATGGAAACCCTCAGGTGGGTCATTGAAACTGGGCTGGCACGGTGGGCAGCCCGGCCCTGGGCTGGCCACAGCTGGGGGCCTTCCTAATGAGCTGTCTCTTGGTGGGGTGGGGGAGAGTTCCGGCTGGACTGGTGACAGCATAATAACCTTGTCACTCAGCGACAGAGCCTCAGGCCTTCAGTTCCTGCTGGGGCTCTCAGCGGTGCCCCACCCAGCCCTCCTAGGCCCAGAATGACATGCAGGGAGGGAATGGGGCCGGGCTGGGCTTGTGGGGTCGGGTTTGGGCAAGTTTCTGGTTGGTGGGCGCGGGGGCCTAACCCCAGGTCAGGGTCAGGCTCAATTCAGTCTGAGGCACAGAGGTCCCAGCAGTTGTGGGGCCCAGTCCAGACATCCCAACAGAAACACATCAGCCGCCACCTCTCAGTTCCATGGGGCTGGGCAGGGGAAGGGACGCTGGCTTTTGGGCTCACCCTGGTGCAGGGCAGAAGGCACCCTTTGCCCACAGTGATAGTGGCAGAGATGCCAGGTGCTGCCCCAGCTCAGGAGCCCCCACTGGCCTCCTCGGCCCCTGCACACCCCAGGAGGGCCCTGGTGGGGCAGTGTGGTGAGGAGGACATGGTTCTGCAGTCCCTGAGGGGGAACTCGGACTCAGATCCCAGTTCCCTCCCAGCTCCTTCCCCACCCCCACTGGCAGTGCCACCTTGGAGCCTGGGGACCCCACCCCACTGCCTCTGGGGACTGTGAGCACCTAGCGAGTCCACCTCTGCGGGGTGTGGCAGTGGCATGGAGCTGAGGTGATAATGAGCATGGATTTGTTGCAGGAATGGCCCTTAAGGTGCCCCTTCCCAAGTGACCCCAGGGAAGGGGGGTCTGCAGCAAAAGACTCCCTAAGCCTAGGCAGGCATGAAGGACGGAGGGCCCTCGGCTCACTCCATAGAACCTGTTCTGGAACCGCCAGGTGAACGCCTGGAGACGCCGCCCAAGCCCAGCCCCACATAGGCACAGGGCTCAGGGGAGGTTCCGAGCCAAACGGGGCCCTGGTCACTGGCAGGCACAGCCACGGGCATCCAGGGCACAGAGGCTGAGCCACCAGCAGCCTCGGAGGGGAAGGAGAGAGGAGCCATCCAAGGACAGGCAGGCCCTGCGTGTAATGCGAGGTGCGGCCACCTCCACCCCCACCTGGCCTGTCTGCACCCTCCTAGCGCCAGGGCATGAGCCCATTCCTGGGATAAGGCAGGGACAAGGATGACCCTCGGGCTGCTACGCCCTGGGGAGCATGTCTGGGATGTTACAGGAAGCTTCAGGGAACCAGTGGTGTGACCACAGGGTCCCCACTGCCCTCGGAGCCTGGACAGCTCTCAGGCACCCAGAAGGCAGCTCCACTTCCAGCCTCCTTCCATCACCTACAGAGCCTGGCTCTGCGCGGGGATCCCTCTGCCACCTCTGCACCTCGGGGCCATCTGAGTGGCGCACAGACCTGGTCCCCCCGCTGACAGGTTGCCACCTCCCTGCCAGGCCTTCAGGCTCCCAAATCAGCAGTGGTCTTGGGCTCTCAGCCCTGCTCCCATAAAGGGACAGGGGTAAGGTCCTTATGAGCAGAAGAGGCCAGGCCTGGTGGCTCCCTTTTTCCCACGAGCAGGAAAACCACCCAGCCACTCAGCAGCTGCCTGGAGGCTCTGGAAGGAGCCGCATCAGAAACGCAGCAGGACGGCCGTGGAAATGCGTTATTGTGGCCAGGAACAAAATCATGACAGCAAATGCCTGGGAACGGAAAAGCAAATCCAGCGAGCAGAGCATCACGAGGTCCTGCGAGTCGCCCCCACCGCCAGCTTCCTTCCTTCTCCTCCCCATCTGCCCTGGGGGACAGCTGAGCATCGGTCCCGCTGGCCTGGTCACCGGCCGAGGCTTCCAGACACAGCTCTGAATCAGGGGACGCACGTCAGCTCCCAAAGGCTGTTCCATCTGTCCAGGACCCTCTGCCGATGTCCGTGCCAGGGGGACCGCTCATAGCCTGCACCAGCTGGTGCCCCTGCCCTGCCCCCAGGAGACTTAGCCTGCTGGGATACGAGGCTTGGGGCTGCTCAGCATGGGGTGGACAGGAACAGCAAGGCTCCGAGACGGCCACTGGGCAGAGGCTGCAGCCCCAGTGAAAGGGTATCCCCTGGGCAAGCCGGGCCCGCCCTGTCCCCAGCAGCACAGGAGCCCTGCAGCCAGGCTCAGCCAGCCATGTCCCCACCCTGCTCCAGGCCTAGCTGGGTTCATACCCACTCAGACCCTACACCTCGGCTCCAGGTCCCTCCGCAGCCACACCGCTCCCTCCACCTCGGCCCACCATGCTCCAGTCCGGCTCAGTGAGGCACACGCAGTTCCCCTCTGCCGCCCCTCCCAGGCCTCCCTCCCTGGGGGGACGGTCCCTGGGGGCAGGAAGTAGCCTTGCGCGTGGCACACACTGGCGTGCAGATGCTGGAAGAGCGTTCCAGCGCCCCCAGTGCACCGGGCGCCGTGGCAAGTGCTTGAGGACTTATTTTACACCATCTCAGGGCAATCCCACGGGAGAAATGCAGGTGCTACCTCCACTTAACCGGGGGGCGAGGCTCAGCCTAAGTCATGTGTCCAGGGTCCCAGCAGGGTCAGAAGGCCGGGCGTGCCAAGCCATCCCACACCTTCCATGTCTCCAAGGCCAGGCCAGCGAATAGCAGCAGCCACCTAGGGTCCCAGCATCATGCAGAGCCACTGCATGGGGATGGCACCTCAGCCAGGAGGGGCTGGGATGAAAAGCCCACAAAACAGCCGTGCAGCTCCCCTTCCCAGTGACCTTGGGGCCCAGAGGCCAAGAGCACCGATTCCCAGACACACGGCTGTCTCCGAGGCTGGCGACGGCCGGCCAGTCGTTCAACCCTCTGGGCACGAGTCTTCCCCTCTGTAAAGTGAGCGGAGGGTCAGCCCCAGCTGCTAGGACTCCTGGGGGTCAGAAGACACGTGGAGTAAACGGTGCTCACCCTGGGGCTGGGGTGGGGGAAGAAAGGAAGCCAGGGAGGGGCCAAGACAGCACCTCTGTCCTCAAAGGGCAGCTCGGCACCCAGGAAAGGAAAAGGGCAGGTTTCCAGGGCCCAGGAGAAGCCCTCCCAGCAGCACCAGCTCCTGGGGGTGACCCAGGTGCGGGGAAATGACCCACAGGGGACGAGGATGCCTGGGCACCGTGGGTTCCACACACCCAAAAGCACATGCCTCCCCGTGATACACAACACACAGCACAACACACACACAACACATAAAAGTACACACACCACACATACTACACGCACCACACACAACACACATGGACACACACACCACACACATAACAAAGCACACACACAACACGCACACCACACACAAAGCACACACACACTGCAGGCACTACACACAACACACACCATACAACACACACAATACAGATATATAACACACCAGACACACACCACACCACACAACACACGCACCACACACAAACACACAAAACACACAGAGACACACAACACACACACCACATGCCATACACAACACACACATCTCACATACACCACACATACACCACACACAACACACAGATCACACAACACACACAACACACACATCACACAACACACAGAAACACACGACACATCACACAACACACAGACACACAACACAGATAATCCACATCACACACACGATACACAGACAACACAAACCACACACAACACACAGAAACACCACACACATACACAGATTCACAACACACACTTCATGCACACAACACAAACAACACATATCTCACACAATACACAGAAACACACACCACACATATCACACAACACAGACACACAGCACACAGACAATACACATCACACATACACTATACACAGACAACACACACACCATGCACAACACACAGAAACACACACCACACACATCACATAACACACACACAGCACACACACGTCATACAGACAACACACATCACACACAATACACATCACACACACCACACATATCACACAACACACAGACACACAACACACAGACAATACACAAACACAACACAGACAATACACATCACACACATAATACACAGACAATACACACAACACACAGAAACCACACACATCACACAACACATACACTTCACACAAACACAATACACATCACACATAATACACAGACAACCCACATACCACACACAGACACACAACACAGACACACGTTACACACATGACACACAGACAACACATGCACCACACACAACACTTGCAAACACATCATATCACACATACACACAACACAGATCACACAGACACACACACCACATGCAGACATACAAACTCACAGACATGCAACACACATTGCACACAGACACACAAACAACACACATCACATCCATATACACACACCACACACACAGACACACAACACACATTACACACACAACACAGACAACACATCTCATACACTGACAACATCCATTATACACACATTACATGCACAGACACACACCACACACAGGACACACAATACATGGAAAACACATAACATACATCACACATGCAGGCAATGCACACAACACACAGAGACAACACGCACACCACACAACACACACAACACACATACCACACACCACACACCTCTGCCCAGCTCCGTGCAGGTGTGGCCTGCAGGTGGCACCTCCCACGGCAAGTGTAGCCGGCTGCCGCCGTGGAAGCCTGTTGGCACTCTAGCCTGTGGCATATGCCACACTTCTGCTGCGGTCTTGGCTGGCGGGGCTGGGTGGGTGGCAGGGTGGGGGGCTTCCTCCTGGAAGCCGGTGGCGGCTCTGCTCTAATTAGCGACACTGTTTACTTGGCACCGCCTCGCCCTAGAAAAGCAAACCCTCGGCAGGCCCAGGCAGGCCTGGGGGACGGAGCCAGTGGGCCGTGAAGGAGAGGTGCCCGCCACGCCCCTGCCTCTCGGGGCCCAGGGCTGGAGACCGCAGAGGGGCCCAGGGCTGGAGACTGCAGAGGGGCTCAGGGCTGGAGACTGCAGAGGGGCCCAGGGCTGGAGACCGCAGAGCCCTCTGCAGCCACGGCAGCCGAGCACAGGCCTGGACGTGGGCATGGCACCCAGCGTGGCACCCAGCCTCCACGTCCTCAGCCCTGGCCCTGGGTGCCAAGCAGTGGCCCCTGGCAGCAGACACACCAGGCTGGCCCTGCACCCTGGCTGGAGACTCCAGCTACCCTCAGCCATGCCCTGAGGCCACCAGGCGCCCAGGAAAGGGGCAGGTTTCCAGCGTCCCAAGAGAAGCCCGTGCAGCAGTGCCAGCTCTGTAAGGCTGACCAGAGGTGCGGGGCTGACCCAGGTGCAGGGAAATGACCCGCAGGGGATGAGGACGCCTGGGCACCTGGGGACCCATACACCCAAAAGCACATGCACCCCGTGATATTCAACACACAGCACACACACCCGCACAAACACAACATACACATAAACACACAACACACACAACACACAGATACATATACATGCAGTGCACACACACCACACACAAACACAACACACACACAACACACAGATACATATACATGCAGTGCACGCACACCACACACAAACACATACACAGACACACAAATACAACACACAGATACACACACACAGTGCACACACGCCACACACAAACACAACACACACACAACGCACACAACACACAGATAAGTAGCACACAAACACCACACAAAAACATATACACACAAAGACGCACAAACATAACACACACAGATACACAGTGCGCACACACAGACACACACATCACACACACACCATGCACACACACAAAATACACAACACACACAGGCACACAACACACACACAGACCACACATCACATACACACCACATGCACACATCACACAACGCAAATACTCAGGCAACACACACCGTACACACATTCACACACAACACACACAGACAATACACAACACACACACACACACACACAAACACACACGCACGCCTGCCCGGGTCTGCAGGGCAGACAAGGCCAGCCCGGGCCGCTAGGGTGACTGAGTACAGGCACCTGCCCCTCCAGCCTTGGCTGCATGATGCTGCAGACCTGCCCCATGACGCTGCAGACGGTTCAGACACCAGCCACTCCCCCTGGGACTCGGCCGGGCACAGGGGGGACTGGACCACATGGAGGTGGCAGATGCAAAGGTGGGAAGGAGGTGGCACAACAGCCAGCTATTTGTGAAGACCCTAGGGGAGAGTGCCAGGGGGGAAGCCAGACGGAAACTCTGAAAGGGGTGAGATGAGGTGGAGAGAAATCACAGGGATAGTGGCCCTGCCCTTAGAGGAGTGACAGGTAGGACCCGGGGTCATAGTTGCCGGCACCCCTCCAACCTCTAGGCCCCAGTCCCTGCAATACCCTCGGCCAGCCGCCACGTGTGGTGATGCAGCCCCCTAATAAAAGCCCTGGCCTACAGCACACACAGGTAGCTCAGAGCTGCTGCGAGACACCGTCCACCCCAGCCGAGGAGAGGCCACAGCCACGCCAGCAAAGCGTGAGGGCGGCAGCCCCTGCAGCAGGCCACCCGTCACCCCCCAGGACCGCTGTGGATAGCAACGTCTCCCAAGCCAGTGTGGCCCGGGGCACCCATACCTGTGCCTAGCATGTTCCCCAGGCAACCATGCAGCTGTGGAGCCTGAGACCCGGCAGCGGCCGGCATGGGATGCCACCAGGAGAGGAGTCACGGACATCCCCGCCTTGGGGTGCAGAACGGTCAGCTGGGCCCCCTTTGTGGGGGTACAGCAGTGAGCCTCCGTCAGCCGTGGAGGTACAGTGATAAGCCTCCGTCAGCCGGCTGCCTCCACCTCTACCACACACTGCCCAGTAGGACCCAATGTAGGACCAGGCATCAGCCGTCTGGGGCTGGGCAGTGTTTATCCCCATTTCACAGATGGGGAAACTGAGATAGTTCATTACGTGACGACTTCATCCCAGGGCGCTACCTG